AACTATTTTCAAACCACATTCCGTGCTCTCGAATACGTTATTTGTTATCGCAATGCATGATGGTGGTGTTTTGGTGAATGTGAATATAACATCAGCTCGAGTCTGGATATGTCATATCATAAAGAATATTATTGGTAATATATACTGACGTCATCGTTAGTATATATTACAAATGACACATGGACAGTCTCGTAATTAATTGGATCTTTATGATTTGCTGGGATAACACGTAATAATCAATAACTAATAATCAATAATTTAGCCCTGCATTATTAGTATATCAATATATTAATGAGTGATATAGTGACCAATCGTCGAATTTCCTAATTACAACTACAATGGTAGTTTAGCAGGATTCTACTGCAAGCTGAACGAATTGAAAATATAAACAAACAGTAAGCGCGGTGAATGTGACTGTTTACGCTCACGCATAGGCCGTCGCTGTGGCGTCATTTCCTTACATTTTTGCCAACCAGAATGTGAACGTCGGATAACAAATGTCGCTAGCTCGCGATCTACTATGACCACCCTGCCATTAAATTGTTTTCTTAACAGAGAATTCAAAACATACATATATGGAGAGAGAGACAGAGAGCGGGAGCAGCAGCGAACAACACCGATATTTATTCTTCGAATGCAAATGAGTGGTTCTTGCGACCAAGTCACTGCGCACGCGCACGCTCGCAAATACTTCAACAAGTGCAACGACCTTATACCACAGCAAGTTGATCAGGTTTTGCAATTTCAGGCATACATTGATATGTATATAGGAGTTTTGAGACATGAAGAAATTGCTGTTTCATTACTCCGTACTAAGTAAGATTTATCGAAACATGGACGTACTAAGTTTTAGTACGCCCATGATCTGAACTACAGTGAGTAATACGTAATTCAGTGACCCGCCCCTCCAACTGAACGTGGTCATCGTCCTTTGACAATCCCGCCACATGCTACTTTAGAACACTCATTTTCATCATCTTTGAACACAGAATAACAGGGGTTTGAAAGCAAATTCGGTAAACAATCCATGATTCACCCTAAAATAGACAAATATTCAATGAAATAGTTACTTATTTGCAAAACAGACTTCAACGGTGATTGGAATTAGAAAAAAAATATTTGTTTGTGTATCAATTGTGTTCAAAATAATTAAAATAATCTGAATTTAAGAGTTACGTTCCAGCTACGTTAAGAACAATGCTTTGCTTATATTGGCGGTTCTAAAAAGTTCAACATTTTTTAACGAGTCCATGATCACCACGAGTATCCACACAGCTGTGTTGTTCCGTCACTACACAACACAACAATGCATGATAACACGATTGCGCCAACTCCCCCTCTCCCTACGGTGTAATACACTAAATATACAGTCAGAGGCCGAAATGGACATTGTGCAATGACCTATTTCGCACAGGCGCCTACTCGGTTCATATTACAGACTGCCCGTATATTTTAGAATGTTTTAATCGGCTCTGTGTGGGGGTCCATATTCCGGTGGGGGTCTGTTTTAAAGAGTTTCGGTAATGAAGTATGCAAGTTCAATTGACCCCGGGCAGCCTATGGTCCAATATATCACTGAGACATGATAAATTAGTTACATTTACGTCACGAGACGCCATTACTGCGAAGATATCAGGCTAGCGAACACGTCATTTTTATAAACAGCGGGTACGTATGCAATTATCTTTATCGTTGCAGAAAATGCGGACTCGGTAACGTGTATACGTGGTGCTGTCGATGACATAGACGCGCCGTTGACTTTGATGTTTGTTTCCATCTGGTACAAGTAACATGTCGTGATATTCTCTTTCCAACATCGAAGATTGACGCGAATTGTGAAATCATTGGAGCTCGTCGACGCGTGCCGAATGCAGCTTGGCGCAAATGGCAAATGTCTAACAGGACACGTTTTCCTGGACGATCTCCGCTAATGGTTGTGCCGCATGGTATGATTACGTGCACTGACAATCCACGCTGCAACGTGGCTATCACACTCCTCAGACTTCTATAGCAGTCTGAGCACAATCCAGTGTAATTAATCATATATCTGTTGTTGTTTTTCTCGTTGATCGTTCAGTACACAACACAACATGGAATACACGATTCGTGAGTTTCTGGTGATATTCTCTTCGATGTCGGCATGCCGGGTGAATATCAACCTCATATCGTGTTGGTGACGTACTTCGACCATTATAACACAGATCCTTGAAACCCGCAATGATTTAGGAGCGTACACTCTATGGTTTCACACATGGTTTTAGCTAATTGTTTCTGCCGGGTATTACATGGTGAACCAACGTTTCTGCTGGGTTATTTAGTGTTTGGTTAATGTTTCTTGATATTTAAGGTGGTTTACTGCGACTGGGTTAATAAGGTGGACCAATAACTGCTGGGTTATTTAGTGTTTGGTTAGTGTTTCTGGATATTTAATGTGGTTTACTGCGACTGGGTTAATAGGATGGACCAATAACTGCTGGGTTATTTAGGTGGATAAGCGTTTCTGCTGGGTTGACGCTGAGTTATTTAAGGCAGAACAATGTTTCTGATGGGTATCTTAGAATGGACCATTTTGTTTTCTGTCTTATTTATGAGATACGTGTATTGTGCCAATAACGTACCTATCAAATACAATTATCATGATTGGGTAACCAACTTACCGTTCATGGTACGTATATTATGTAACCAAAGCATCGATCAGATACGTGTATTGTATAACAACGTGCTAATCAGATACGTGCACTGTCACTGTACATCAACGTACAGATCTGATACACCTACTGTTCAACGAATGTCTGATTAGATACTCGTATTTTTTCACCAAAGTACCAAGCAGGTTATGTCTTGTATTATCAACGTATGGATTGGGTACCTGTACTGTGTCACCACAGAACGGATCAGATCCGTGTATCGTGTAACCAATGTCCTGATCAGATACGTGCATCGTGGCACCAAATTGCGCCCAGATGCACGTACTGTTACACGAACCGAGGTCCTTCCTTCGTGCAAGAATAGATTTGATACTAGTATAAGTAACTGAAGTCTGATCAGATACGTGTAATGTATAATATAGTATACGTGACGTACGTATTACATGTATTGTGTAACCAGGGTACGCAAATGTAACAGTAGACGAGTGACTACTTAAAATAACTGAAAGTTTTCCGATCAGATATTTGTATTGTTACATTGATGTACCAATCGTATATGTGTATTGTGTTACCAAAGCATCGATCAGCTACGTGTATTATGTAACCATGCTACCTATCAGATACGTGTATCGTGTAACAAAAGTACAAAAATGTAACAGTAGACGAGAAGTAACCCGAAATAACTGGAAGTTTTCCGATCAAATATTTGTATTGTTACATCGACGTACCAATCTGATACATGTATCGATCAGATACATGTATTATATAATCATGCTACCGATCAGATACGTGTATCGTGTAACAAAAGTACGTAAAAAGTATCAGTAGACGAGTATCCATTCAAAAGTTTCACCAGTAACGTACATTGGTTCTCAGTGGGTGAACTCTCATAATAATGCGAATAATGCATAGCTCACACCGTATTGTGCAGTAATTGTGTTTCATAAGCAGTCACGTCGGATTTATTTATTCCAATCATGTCTTTTTTGAATCTGAATAAATCACTGTTCACTGACGCGGACATCGAGTGTAATCATCCACACTGATCTCCTGATAATGTGATTATACCGGGTGTTGTATCAAAAGGGGCGACACGCTTCAAAGCATTATTTTTTGGTACTCATTTCGAGTTGACACGAAACTCGAATTATCTCTCTTCCGAACTGAATATGGATATTAAATTGCTCGATTGTTTGTTTGTGGACAGATTGGTATAATAATATTAGGTTGATTGGAATATGATCTTTCACTTTGTTACAATGCGACAACAAAGTGTCCTGCTTAACAAGTGAGCAGAAACATCTATATACCTAAATATGTCATTCGTTGATTCGACTAATATTTGCGTAAAATGTTCAACTCAATTAAATATAGTTACATTTGATTTAGTTGTGTAGTCGCAGCAATGTGTCGACGGAATCACCATGCTCAAACGTCGGGGAATTGGTCTGATACAAGAATTATTTTTGTAGTGCGTTGTTCCATCAGGTTCTATCGTTTTATTGCCATTGTGGAATGTAGTGAGTTAGCCAAGTAAAAAAAAAAATAGTGCAATCTTTACGACTACTCACGTGTTGTATAAGCTTACTAATATATTGCATGTAATGGACATAATCGCGCATGCGCAGTAAAGTTGGAATTTGAACCGTAAACATTCTGCCTGGAGTATCTTATGTTATTACGTACGGTTTTATTGATGTACTGATAGACATGGTAGAATACCCCGGCATCCTTCACTCTACCATGGAGTGCTCTCACTGGCGCTGAGATAGAGGGGCTATTACGTCATCACATAGGCACTGCGATCGTTGAACAAATATAAACCTGTAAACGAAGCGATATTGAAGTGTAGTCTGGCGACACGCCGGTATTTAGTAGAACGTACAGCTAAAAAATCATAAACCTCGCATTAACACATATATTGATGATGAACGACTGGCGACAGTACTGCGGTTAGATACAATTTAAATTATTACTTAGTTTATAACTCAGATTATTTAAGTTATCAGGCAGTTCGCTTGGTGTATTTTATACAACCTACAACATTCCAGAAGCCATTGCGTAAGAAACGGCGGCGCAAGTCAACGCGACGCAAGGCAACGCGAGGCGACGCAACGCAATGCAACGCGACGCGACGCAACGCGGCGTTCTGTACATTTCGATGAGTAATTTAAATGTGGATACTGTATAACACGTGATTGTGACGGCTAGGGTGAATATGACTGGCTGTACTATAACTCTATTGCCAATGATAATGAGATGAGTCTTTTTCGTTTCAAAAATCTTGATTTGTATCTATTTTTAATTGCAGACCACGTTGACTAAATGACTGCGATTGCCAAAGCATCCGACATGCCGTCCATACTGTCACTGCGCAAGTCACGTCTGTATCAGACGTCGACAGAGAAGCTGGAAAACATGCAGCACATGAGCAGGGCAATTCGCCATCGCGCCGAATTTTTGAACAAGCAGGAGAAAGCTCATCTGCGCATGCGCACAAAGCAGATCGAGTCGAATGAGTACGCGGTGATGGGAAGTGTCTACCGCCTCAGAGACTACATGAAAATTGACCTGATCGATATGCACAAGTCAAAAAAGAAAATCCAGCGAAGTGTCACGGAATTTGAACAGTCTTTGAAAGAAGGGACGAACCTTCCCGTCTTCAAGTCGGAATACGAACGACTTAGGAAAAAGCAAAGGCGACTTGAGAAACTAGAGGTTGACTTACGAGGGCCGAATTCATACAGTCTCGCCAAAGATTTGAATTCGCAATTAAAACTAGTTAATCTTACGTATAGTTACGATACTGAAAATAAGAAAGTACACGGCTTCAATTTACCGCCTATCGATGCAAACCCGAACACCACCACGACAGAAGAGGCACCTTTATCGGATGCTGAGAAGATCGCCCAAGACGAGAATGAGAAGGAACAGCAACAAAAAGAGGAAGAAGAAAAAAAGGAAAGCGAAAGACTGCTGCAAGAAAAACGACAGTCACCTCTACGGAGATTATCGAAAAAACTCGACAATAATAACAATATTTTGTTGCCAACAAACCCGGCGTATCGCCAATTGATGCAGATCAAAAAGGAGCAAGAAGAGGAAGCCGAACGATTAAAGCTGTTGGAAGAGGCCGAGATTGAGAAAAAGCGTAAAGAGGAGGCAGCGAAACCACTCCCGCCTCTTAGAGAAACGCTCTTCGCCGACATGAATCTGAAGATGCCGAAGAAGTTTGTGAGAAGTAGAAGTCCTGTTAGTGGGTCCCTGTTGCGACGTAAGTTACACGCCGAGCGCCGTATAAAGAATATGAAAGTGCAGTCGCGATCAGACGTGGACAGAAAACTTAGCAATTCGATCACTTCTTTAAATAAGATGGCGTCTGTGTCGTCGTCCGGTGAACAAAACACTAAAACCTCTCCCAGAGGGTCAGATTATGGCGACAACTCGTCAACGGTAGCCGCGAGCGAAGCAGGGAGCAAATTGACGAGGAGGAAGCACAGGAGATCGGAGGGTGGACTCATACTTCCGCCGATCAAAGTAGACATTAGCATGCTTAAAGAAATAAAAGAACATCGTATACGTCACAAAAAAGAGTCAACTGGTCTCCCCCACCTACCATAAAATGAGTGTGAGACCGGACATTACGAAAGCCGTATTATTTCAGTCCCAACAAGCAGGTCGCCCCCAACGACGGATTTTATAAATATAGATTTAGCACCGCAGGGCATTAATATTTTTGAACTGAGCTGTTCTCCCTGTTTTATTCATTCATATAGAAACATTTCAAACAATTGTATTTTATATTTAAAACGCTTTAGCATATTTCCCGCCAATTTAAGTTTAAAATGTCCAGCGTTATTTCCAACGTTCAGTATTTAAAGGGGTATTTTCGATTGATTAGCTTGTGTGACTGCTCATAACTGTTTCTGGGAAATAAAGTGAAAGCGCATATACATTACGAGAATCGGTGTTTTGCGTAGCACGCCATGTTCGATATGTGGGACAGCCCCGTCCATTTAAGGATTCGGCCACCGCTAGTTTAAACGGTGTAAAAACGTGAACGATATTAATAACGATATTCTCTCACGCAAATTCCCTGTATAGGTGTCCATATATTTTGCCGAATTGAAGTTATTTTCGTTGAAGTTAGTTTCAACTGTTATGAGTTGTGTTATGTTCGAAAATATACAAGGTACGGTGTGTTTTAATTTTATGCATTTTAAGCGAGAGGGTCGTCACCTGCGCACGCGCGGGAATTGAGTCCCAAGCGATGATAACAAAACGCTAAAAACGCAAAGGCTCATGGCCATCAGACGCATGCGCAGGTGACGACTCCCCCCGCTTTAAGAGATGGGTTAGCAGGTTACGCCTGCAGACAGTGTAATATATATCGTAAGAAAATAACATAGTAAATAATATAACCTCATTATTATACATCTTTTCCTTCCAAGGATACATTATGGGAATGCCGAAATTCAAAATGTTTAGACAGAATCAGCGAACTTCTTTGTGTGCAGTCCGGTCAAACTCTGGTCGCAGCCATGTTTGATTTTATTATTAGAGGACGCTTAAGCGCGTAATCATTCCATATTTGGAATTCGCATTTCCTAATATGGCAGGATGAAAATACCCCGTAAAATACTGCAAAATTACGGCACGCTGTTACACTTATGGCGTTACGGTGACAAATCAGTGTAAACATGTACTGCGTGTGACTTGAACCGATGCTTGCGTACGGCATTCAATCGTCTGTTACACGTCGCGGCACCTCTTCCGCTCGGCCATCTGACACCCCGAAATGGATGCTAACAATGTAATAACCGAGCTTATTACGCGCAGAGAGCATGAAACTCGTCCAGGGCGACCCCTTCATGCTACCTGTATATAATAAACTCGGTTATTATGCATCCTTTTGGTGTCCAAGGCGAAGACGTGTCGTAGCGTGAAGCGCGCGATTAGGTGCCGTACGCGAGCGTTGGTTCAAGTCACGCACGCGGTGCACGTGCATGTTTACTTTCAGTCAACATAGTATTTCCCTTGGCGTGTATTCGGTATTTATTAGCAGTTTTACTTCCTATGTTGGCAGCTATTATAAGAATATATTGTATATATGGTGCTTAGAAGTGGGTTAACATAATAGGCGATTTTCCGTTCAACTGCGAGTTGCGTGAAAGACGCGCGCCAAATGTCTACCGCAAAATAGAACGATTTGATTTTGAACTTAAAAGGCCGATCTTCGACAGGGGAATATTGCATTTAAATACCGTTACTTCATCGAAATTGAACGTCATCAAATGTCTACAGCACATTATCAAGCATGGAAATATCCCCCAAAATAATTTCGCGTTTGTCGAATCCCACGCGATGTCTGTCGCCACTACGACGCTATGACCTTTGTTTGTCATGTTTTTACGTTCGATTTCACGCATAACGCGGGATCTCGCAATATACAGCAAATGGTCTATTGATATTACAGAAAGTACTATTTCACTGTGACGTCATTTGTTTACAGTTTTGGCAACTATAATGCGAAATCCTGATAACAAACGTTGCTTATTAATCAGCTATAGATTGTGATCTGATATGACAAAGTTGCCCATAAGTTGTTTGTTTTTAACATGAACACATACATGTATATTTAATGAAAACAAAAACGAATAACGCCGTTATTTTATCTCGGGTTGCAAACATAAGGTATAAGGATAAGGTACCAACATTTCTTTAAAGAAGCAATATGGATATCACTTGTTGAGCATGTTTAAATAATTTAATTATATTTGTTAGTAACAAGGAAATTTGTGAAATGAAAAAAAAATGTTTTCGAAACAAACATATAAAGACAACCGCAAATGCATGCCTTACATATTTACCTATGCGTACAGGAAATTCGAAGCGATTATGTACAAGCGTTTTTATTATAAAAACCCATCTGTCATGCTTGCTGTCAAAATAACAAAACAAATGACAACATTATTTAAACATGTCCGACATATATACATATTCACCTAAAAATAAAGAAATACTGGTCTATCCTTTACTCGAATCTCACCAATTCTTCAGCCTCGATTTTGATTATTTGAATAGTTACTTAGGAGGACAATGAATACCAAATACTACTTAAAAGGCGGTGGTCGTCGCGCCACGCATGCCCTCGCGCATATG